AATGGGTAGAGAGAGGAACGGAGAGAATTTAGAACTGAAAACAAAATTGAATTTTTAAAAAAAGAAAATGCATGAAGATGAATTGTCTTATATGAGGAACAGCAAGGGAGGTCAATGTCACTGGATCATAGACTGTTTGGAAAGAAATCAAGTAGGAAGCAGATTGGGAAGGTAGGTGGGGCCAGATTGTGAAGAATTTTAAAAGCCAAATGAGATTTTATATTTGAATCTGGGGGTAATTAGGAGCCTTTATAGTTTATTGAGAAGGGTGGTGATATGATCAGATCTGTATTTTAGGAAGATCACTTTGGCAGCTGAGTGAAAAATGCACTGGAGTGGAGAGAAACGTGAGGCAGAGAGACCAATTAGAAGGTTATTACCATAGTCCAGGAATGTATGGCATTTAAAAAGGTTTGAGACAATTAATTTCTGGGGATTTTAGCCATTTTATTAATAATGCCAGCATTTTAATAAAAGGATGGTCATTTGGCCATCTCTCTCTTAGACCCAAGACAGTCATAGTGGTGGGCTCATAGTTTATATGTCCTTGGAAGAATAAGTGTTACCCAGGGTGGGAATCAACTCTGATTGGTTAACAATTAATGAGGGGTGGATTTTACAAAGAGAAACGGACTTACTCCAATGAGGGGCTGAGAGTGACATCATGTCATCCTTGGACTGAGAGACTATCTCTATACCCGCCAGCCTTGGGTAATGTAGACAAACGGGTCTATCTCCACCCAAGCTTGATAGAATGGAATTCACCTTGGACTAGAGATTCCTTGAAAGGTTGGGTGGGGTTGGATAGAGGAGAAGGTTAGCTCAACCTTCAGAGACTGAGGTCTTGAAATGAAGATAGAGAAAAGGGGGAACTTTAAATCCCCCTCAAATCATTAGTGAATCATAATCATTTCTCTCACATGAAGTGATGAGGGTCTATACCAGGGTGGTGGCAGTGTCCCAGGAAAGAATGGGGCACATATGTGAAATATTGCAAAGGCAGAATTAACCACACTTGACAATAGATTGGATATGGGAGGTGGGGGTGGGCGAGAGAGAGTGAGGAGTCAAGGATAATACCCAGGTTATGAGCCTGGGTGACTGAGAAGATATTGGTACCCTCAACAGCAATAAGGGAGTTAAGAAGAGGAGAGATTATGGGAGAAAAGATGATTGTTTCAGTTTTGGACATGTCAAGATATCCATAGACAATTGGAAATTCAAGACTGGAGGACAGGAGAGAGGTTAAAGCCGGAGAAATAATTCTGAGAATCATCTGCATAGAGATAATAGCTGAATCCATAGGAACTGATGAGCTTGTCAAGAGAAATAGTGGACAGGGAAAAAAGAAGAAGGTAAAGCACAGAGTCTTGGGAGATACCCACAGTTAGCAGGTGCAACCTAGATGAAGATCTGGGAAGAGATGAAAAAGGAGTAGTTGTGGGACAACTGAGTGGCACAGTGGATAAAGCACCAATCCTGGAGGCAAGAGGACCTAAGTTCAAATTTGGCCTCAGACACTTACTAGCTGTGTGACCCTGGGCAAGTCACTTAACCCTGTGTGGAAGAAAAGAAAAAGTAATAGTACTAGTAGTAGTCAGACAGGTAGGAAAAGAATGACAGTATTGCAGAAAACTAGGGAAAAGAGAATACTAAGAAGGTGATCAACAGTGTCAAAGTCTGCAGAGAGGTTAAAAAAAAGGATGAACGTTAAGAAAAGGACATTAGAATTGGTAATTAAAAGAAAGAGAGGAGACATATAGGACGATATCTAATAGGGAGAATTAGATCATGTAAAAGTTTCTTGAGGATAAGGGAGCTCTCCTTCTCCCTAACCCTCTGAAAACTTTGTCTCATATTTCCTATAGAATTACAAAGAAAATATTCAAATAAAGATATAATTTTTTCCCCATCTTAGTTCACAGACCCCAACTTAGTAGGCTTGTACCTAAAGTAAGACCTTTTACTATATGGAGGATTTCTGGGAGGCCCTGGACAAAGACTAGTATAGACTGAAAAAGCATGAAGGGGTTGTAGTCGTCTGCCCCATTAGAATCAGGGCTCACAAAGATGAGATCATGAATCCATTGACGTATGGAGATATTTCAAGTACTTTCCTAACCTAAGGCTGATGTCATAGACAGCAATCTCTGGGTATCCCTGGAAAATCCTTCAGTGACCTTTCAGAGACAGATGTCTCATAGGGTTGATTCAATGTGGTAGCCCTAAATGGTGTTAGATTTTTGTATTTTCCTAGGAGGTAGAAAGCAGAGGTGGCCTATACCTGTGGGAGCTCTTTTTTGTGTTGCAGCATCATGGCACAATGCTTTGAACACAGCCACTTAATAAGTGATTATTGAATTGAATTAAGATTATCACTATCATACATCTGGATTTCTCTTAATTTGGCTCTGTGAGGTAGTGTTAGTTTGCATAACTACAATAATGTATTCTAAGCTCATATTTAAAAGAAGTTGTTGATATCTTTTGTTTTTATATTCACTTTATTTCCAAGTATATCCCTTCCCTTCCCCTCCTTTCCCTAGCAAACCATCCCTCGAAAAAAAGATCAAAAAGGAGAGTGAAAAAAGCGATTCAGCCAAAATCACCAGCACTTCAGCCAGGTTTGACAATATATGCAGTGTTCCATACCCAAAGAGGTCTCTCACCTCTGCAAAGAAAATGATTTTTTACCAATCTCTTTCTAGGGTCCAGGTTTGGTCATTAAAATCATAGTATTTACTTTTTCCTTTTTTGTTCTTCATCCATTTATGTTGTAAAGTCATCATGCATATTGTGTATAGTTCTGCTTACTTTACTTCACATGCTTCTCTTTTTTCATATCAGTCATCTTATAGTACAGTAATATTATTCCGTTGCGTTTGTGTGCCATAATTGGTGTAGCCATTCCCCCAGTACATGGACATCTGTTTTGTTTCTAGTTCTTTGCTATAAACATTTTTAAATTCACATTTTAAAACAGAGGTTCTTAACCTTTTTTTGTAAGATGGACCACTGGCAATCTGGTAAAGTCTATGGAGCCCTTCTCAGAATAGTGGTTTTAAATGTATAAAATAAAGTACAAAGCATTACAGAGGAAACCAATTATATTGAGATATTGTTATTAAGATATTTTTTAAAAGAAGTTCAAGAACCCCCAGGTTAAGAACTCCTGTTTTAAAGGGAACAGAGTGAGGAAGATGGGCAAGTTTTCTTGAATCTCTGTGCATTAAGAAGGGTAATGAAGCTTTTCATTCAGGATCTAATAATGGCTACCTAGGTGGAAAAAGCACAGGACTTGGACTTCAAAAACCTAGATCCAAATTCAGGTTTGTCTTTTTTTTTTTAAGACAAGAAAATGCTATTACAATGGAGGGGAAATGGGGGAAGGTGAGAGGGAATGAATGAATCTTATTCTCATAGGATTTGGCTCAAGGAGTGAATAACATACACACTCAATTGGGTATGGAAATCTATCTTCCCCTACAGGAAAATAGGGGAGGAAGGGGACAAGTGAGCAGGGGGATGATAGAGAGGAGGGCAGATTGGGGGAGGGGGTAATCAGAAGCAAACACTTCTGAGGAGGGACTGGGTCAAAAAAGAGAATAGAATAAATGGGGGGGATAGGATGAAGGGAAATATACTTAGTTTTTTACAACATGACTACTATGGAAGTGTTTTGCATGACTACACATGTATAACCTGTATTGAGTTGCTTGCCTTTTCAATGAGGGTGGGTGGGGAGAGAGGAAGGGAGAAAATTTGTAACCCAAAGTTTTAAAAACATACGTTTAAAAAAAAGAGAACCTGGGGCAGCTAGGTGGTACAGTGGATAGAGCACCGGCCCTGGAGTCAGGAGGACCTGAGTTCAAATGTGGCCTCAGACCAATCACTTGACACTTACTAGCTGTGTGACCCTGGGCAAGTCACTTAACCCCAATTGCCTAAAAAAAAAAAAAGAACCTAAAAAATTTTTTTTAATTTAAAAAAATTTTTTAAAAAAGAAATTTGTTGGGGCAGCTAGGTGGTACAGCTACTGGTCCTAAAGTCAGGAGGACCTGAGTTCAAATCCAGCCTCAGACCAAACACTTGTCACATACTAGCTGTGTGACTCTGGGCAAGTCACTTAACCCCAATTGCCAAAAAAAAAAGTTTGTTGATATCTTTTGTTTTTATATCACCTAAATTTTCCCCTGCATCTGTCTTGCTATTTTCTCCCAGAGAGCCAGCCTTTACAACAAAGATTTCAGATTATTCTTCTTAACAGCTATGTGATCCCAGGCAACTCACTTCACTATTCTGGTCCAATGTTTTCCACTTTGTGAAATGAAGAGGCTTGGACTAGATGATGTCTAGGGTGCCCTTCAATTCCAAATCCTATGATGTTAATTCTCTTCTCTGAACCTTAGTTTCCCCATCTAATAAAATAAGAATAATATTTGCACTACCTTTCCCAGAGAGTTGTTATGAAAAAATGATTTGTAAACCTTAAGAGCCATATGCAAATGTGATATTATTATTAGTTAAGTAGGCTTACTAGAACTTGTCCTGGAAAAAAAAAAAGGAATATTCTGCCTTCACCTAGATAGTATATATGCTACCAGCACTGTGCCTTTCATTCTTCCCCTCCCCTTTGCACCATGGTACTGTTCCTTAGTATATGCCTCTAGTACAGAATTCAGCATCTATCCCCTGTTTTATGATCAATTTGCTTTTCTTGGCATGGTCACTTTAAATTTGGGTTTTTCGTAGCTCATTCATTATGGAGGAATGAACAGCTGGGTGAAAAGCACAGGGTGATTTTTAGGTCTATGGATGAGTGGAGTTAAATAGTTACCACCTCATTCCTTGGTGTTTCCTGGCAGGTGGTTACTGGGGTAACAAGCCACGCTGCCAGCAGATTGGAGGCATCCACATGATTGAGTCTTAGGTCTGGGAATGGTCAGCGTCATGCTGTGGGATTTGAAAAGCAGAGAGGACTGTGTATGTGCATGTGTGTGTGAGTGTGTGTACAGAAGATGCTGAGGGTGCTGGGGGCCAGCTAACAGCTTCTCGGCTCATGTGTGGTAGCTGTCAGAGAGAAGGGAGACCGGAGTATTGTGCTGGACAGAATGTCTGGTACAGCCACAAGGTCAGCTGTCAGCCGTGACTGGAGTCATCCTAGCCGGGAGATCTCAAGGTGTGTGTGTGTCTGCGTCTCCTATTTAATGCTGTGTAGCTCAGGGGTGGGACTGAAAGGGTTGACTTGGGAAGCGCAGTTGTTAATTTGAGTTCTCTTTTTTGGGTTCTGACTCTGCCTTCTCCCAGGGGGTAAAAATTTTGTGGACTACTGTCCACTTACCATACACCAGGAGCTATTGCTACCCAGTGTTGGTGGAGGTGGGTAGGGCACTTATGACTACCACAGTGGAAAGAACACTGACTCTGTAGCCAGAGGTCCTAGGTTCAAATCCCCCTTCTCTCACTAACTGACCTTGAGCAAGTCACTGACTGCCTTGGCCTCGGTATCCTCAGCTGTAAAATGAGGGGGTTGGGCAAAATGGCCTCTAAGGTCCCTTCTAGCTCTAGATATATGATCTTCAAGAACACTTAACACAGAGGCAGAAGACTAAGGATCTAAGTTCCTGCCTTATACTAGTAACTTACTTATGACCTTGGCCACTTAACCTTTCTGGAACTCAGTTTACCTCTTTCATAAAATAGGGATAATGCCGGCCCTGCTATCCTCCCAGGGTAGGTGAGGGTACTAGTTGGGACGGCATGTGAAAGGGTATTGGAACAGTTAAAAGTGTAAAGCTCTTTTATTCTCCACATTCCTAAAGGTGATTTCATTAATCGTCTAAGGGGAAAGGGGAAAATTGAGTCACCAAAAACACTGTTCTTGGAATCTGACTTACATTCACTCCCTGAAGGAGAGTCCGGGCCATTCAAGAGGCCTTTTTTTTTTTTAAAATATATAGGTCTTTTAGAATCGAAAGCAGTCTTGTTCTGAGTGTATGTCAGGCTGAAGGGAGGCTTAGAGGGAAATTCTCCAGCACAGTAAGTGTCGGGGAGCCCTTCCCCAACACCATGAGTAATGTCTGTGTGTGTGCATGTGTGCACCGCAAAGGAAGAGGGCTGATGACTAAACCATTGTTTAAGTGACGTTTGGCGTCCATACATCTCTGACCTGCCACATTACAAAGGAGGGATGTGGGTTCCATTCAAGGATCACTTACTTATTAAGCACCTATTGCATGCCAAGGCCCTGCCTGAGCCACTTGCTACCAGAAATACACAGCTAGATAGCATAACAAAGAAAGTTCTGTAGGAGTTTAAAAAGGAAACAGTTGACTTTTAGGTGAGGGGTTGTTGGGAAAGGAGGGAGGAGGAAGGGAAGAAGGAAGGCCTCATTAAGGAATTAATCACTAAACTGCCTCAGAGGAATCATGGTGTAGTGTTAGAGGACTCCATCATCAGGAAGGCCTGGGTTCAAATTCTGTCTCTGATACTGGTTGTGTGACACTGGGCAAGACTCTAACCTCTCAGTGCCCCAGGTGCCCCTTTAAGGTTCTAAGTTTCAGACTAGCCACTTCTCTGCATTGGTGGAAGGAGTTCCCTACAATGACAACATCCTAGGGATGGACCAAATCACAAACTTAACCTGGGCCTTGAAGGATGAGGAGAATTTTAGCAGGCAGAAATGGGAGAACAAGACTCAATCCTAAAAAATTAAACAGTCTATGCCCTCAAGGAAGAAAAAGGTGAAAATAAAGAACACAGATAAATACAAAAAAACTTTTTAATCCAGACCCGGAATTTCACTGGTATAGAAAGTGGAGGGGTGGGTCCCTAAGGGGGAGCATGAAATGAACCTAAGTGGATTGTGGCTCAAGCCCCAAGGAGTGTGTGACCCACCAGACTTTGGGAAGATGGGCAGCATCCCACCCTATGCTCCATAGCTAATTGTGGACCTATCTTTAGCACAACTATTCCGTCCTCTTCATTGTTCCCATGCTATGCCCTTTCCAGTGCTGACCCTGGTGTGGGCTCCTCAGGGCAGTTATAACCTAAACAAACCCAGCCACCCACAAAAGCTATAAATGCAAAATTCTTCTCCTAACCTTATTATCCTCCTGATCACCTTGTGAGTGCTTCAGCCATGACTTAGTTCTGCCCACTGACCCCCTACCCTCTACTCCTTGGGTCAAGACACGATGAGTAGCTTTCTCAACTTGCCTCGGTGGCAGCCGCAGATACAACAGCAGCAGCATGGCCTGCAGGAAGTTCTCTGCTCCCAGGCATGGGACTCTGGGCTTCCTGCCTTGAAAGAGAAGCAGCAGGCACTGGGGAAAGGTGAAGAGCTTCCCCAGAGATGATCCCACCAAGCCTGTACACCTGACAGCCTTTCTGGGCAATAAGGCAGGCATGACCCACATTGGTGAAGAGGTGGCTAGGCCTGGCTCAAAGGTCAACAAGAGGGAAGTGGTTGAGGCTGTCGCCATTGTGAAGACGACCCCCACAGTCATTGTGGGCATTGTGGGCTATGTGCAAAACCCACGGGGCCTGCAGAGCTTCAAAACCATCTTTGCTGAACATATCAGTGATGAACGTAAGAGGCGATTCTATAAGAACTGGCCTGAGTCCAAGAAGAAGGCCTTCACCAAGTATTGTAATAAATGACAAGAAGATGTAGGCGAGAAGCAGCTGGAGGAAGACTTCAACAGCACCAAGAAGTACCACCAGCTGATCCACATCATTGCCCACCCCCAGAGGTGCCTGCTCCTGCTGAGGCAGAAGAAGTCTCATCTGACGGAGATCCAGGTGAATGGTGGCAGTGTGACTGAGAAAGTGGACTGGGCCCACGAGAAGCTGGAGCAGCAAGTGCCCGTGTCCACCATGTTTGGGCAGGATGAGATGATTGATGTCAGTGGAGTGACCAGGGGCAAGGGTTACAAAGGTGTCTCCAGTCACTGGCACACAAAGAAACTTCCCCGAAAAACTCACCAAGGTTGGCATAAGGTGGCGCGTATCAAAGCTTGGCATCTGGCCTCTTAGCCTTCTCTGTGGCTCAAGCTGGTCAGAAGGGCTACCACCATCACACCGAGATCAACAAAAAGATCTACAAGGTAGGCCAGGGCTACCTTGGATGGCAAGCTGATCAAAAACAATGCGTCCACCAATTATGATCTGTCCAACAAGAGCATCAACCCTCTGGGAGGCTTTGTCCACTACGGTGAAGTGACCGATGACCTTATCGTGCTGAAAGCCTGTGTCGTTGGGACCAACAAGCGTGTCTTCCCCGCGGGACAAGATCGACCTGAAGTTTATCGATACCACCTCCAAATTTGGCCGTGGTCTGTTCCACACTGTGGAGGAGAAGAAAGCTCTCATGGGACCACTCAAAAAAGAGCGTGTCTCGAAAGAAGAAGCTGCCTGATGTTTCCAAACCAACTTGGAGCTGGTGGATTCTCAATAAATTTTTCAAAGCTAAAAAAAAAAGAGAGAGATGGTAAATAGAAGTCCTCTCCTTACCCCCTATACACACACACTCGCATATGCGCGCACACCCACACATGCAGATGCACACATGCTTTTCACTTATTTGGTAGGAGAGAGTGAAAAGCAAAGGGTGAGCAGCCATGGACAGGCTTTGATTACATTACTTTTCTTTTTAGGAGGCAGCTGGTGGCACAGTGCATGGAGTACGAGGCCTGGAGTGAGGAAGTTGTTGTTCAGTCATTTTTCAGTCGTGTCCGACTCTTCATGACCTCATTTGGGGTTTTCTTGGCAAAGATACTGAAATGGTTTGCCATTCTTTTTCCAGCTTATTTTACACATGAGGAAACTGAGGCAAACAGGGTAAGTGACTTGCCGAGGGTCACACAGCTGGTAAGTGTCTGAGGCCAGGTCTTAACTTACCAAGAAGAGCCTTCCTGACTCCCGGCCTGGCACTCTATCTGTTGTGGCATGGAATTAGGAAGATCTGAGTTCAAAGCCAGCCTCAGACACTTACCAGCTTTGTGATCCTGGGCAAATCACTTAACCTCTGTTTGCCTGTTTTCTCAACTGCCGAAGGAGGATAATAATAGCACTTACTTTGAAGGGCTGTTGTCAGGGTCAAATAAGATATTATTTGTTAAAGCATTTAGCACAGCGCCTGGCACATAGGGGGCACTGTAAAAATGGTTATTCCCTTATTTACTCCTTCCAAACCCACTTGACTTCCATCTACCATCCTTCTAGACTCCTTTTTCTTGGCTCATCATGAAATTGAAGCCATTCTTTCCTTTTCTTTCTTTTTTGGTATGAGGCAATTGTGGTAAGTGACTTGCCCAAGGTCACACAGCTAGTGTCAAGTGTTTTAGGCTGGATTTGAACTCAGATCCTCCTTGAAACCATTCTTTTCAAAGTTGCTTATGATCTCATAATTGCCAAATTTGGTCATCTTTCTTGACCTCTCTGCAGTATTCGATACTATTGACCATGCTTACCTCTTGGGTACTTACTGTCTCCTCTCTGGGTTTTTGTGACACTACTTTGTCTCTTTTCTCCTCCTACCTCTTTGATCTCTCCTTATTCTTCTTTGCCAGATCACCAGCCATATCTTGTCTCCTTATGGTTGGTATTCCATAAGGATCTGTCCTGGGCATTCTTCTCTTCTCACTGCCTCTCAGTTGGTGAATCCATCAGCAACCGTGGGTTTAAGTATCATTTCTATATGGTGGACACTTAGATCTATTTATCCAGCCTGAAACTTTTCCCAAAACTCCTGTCCTATAATACCAACTGCCTGTCACGGGTCATTTCAAACTTGAGGTTCCATAGACATCTCAAAGTCAGTATACCCCAAACTGAACTGATTATACCTTTTGCCCCCAATTGCACCCATCTTCTGACTTTCCTTATTTCTGCCAAGGATACCACCATCTTTCTAGTCACCCAGGTTTAAAACTTTAGTGTTATCCATGACTCCTCACTTTCTTCACCCTACTTATCTACAAGTTGCTAAATTTTGCCATTTCTACCTCCATCACATATCTCATGTCTACCCCCCTTATGTCTACTTGCATCTCATCTCACTCCTCTCACCCCCTCATGCACATAGGTCCCTAAGTGATTTTCTCAAAGCAGAGATCTAACCGTGCCACTCACTTTCCCAATAAACTTCAGTGGTTCCCTGCTGACTCTAGGGTAAAA